TTTATTTTGTAGTTTTTACATTTCTGTTGTATAGTTTTAGTAATAGTTAAGTGACAACAACTTCTTCTCTATTCTGTATCACCCACTTGAGACTCCTCACGAGCAGCAACCATACTTCTCCACTTTTCATTTTATTGTAACCTAATTTGTTACCAGTTAAATGTACGTGTTATTTCTCTTCATTTCCACTCGTTATCTCTTAACTGAATCTCGGGTCTATGGGATTTCAGTTTGGAATAATTATGTTTAAAGTAGTAGCCATAGGTGATAAACCATTGGTTTACCATGTTTTTAGGCTTAATTATGATTGATATATGTTATGAATTGCATGGAAATTAGGGTTTTATGCTGTAAAGTTACAATAATTGAATATCTTGCTAACATGTTATCGTAATATTGATTTACAATTGTTTTTGACACATATTATGGCATTTTGGAACAAAAGGAAGACATCAAGTTGAGTTGAAGTCTGTTGGACGTTTAGCAAGTGCACTAGTCGTACAAGTAATAAAATGATGAGTAAAGATCGTTCCCACGAGGAATTGTATTCAAGCACCAATAAACCATAAAAAACTAATTTGAATCAGATAAGAGTTTGTAAAAATCATGAATAATTTGTCACCAGAAAATTGATTGTAAGTAATTTGACACAAAGTAAATATGGATTAGGAATTAATAAAACAACAAGTAGTCAGAAGACAACTTTCCTCCATAATAACCCATGTAAAAACTGATCATATGATGAATTCCTTTCCATGTGATGTTAATCGACCTTTTACTTATCATCAAGATGTAATCCCTTACTACCCTGATAGATACATTAATCAGAAACCCCAATCCCTTGGTGATCTCTTTCTTAATACATGCATGAAATACTAAAGTCTTAAGATTACATCAGAACTCTAGCATCAATCCCTTGAGTACTAGAATTCTGGTGTTGAGATTATCAAATACAGAAGTCATATAAACATCCCTGTTCTATACTACTTCCTTGATAGAAATAATTAAATCAGAAAATCTCAAATCAACACATGAAAAATACTTCATCATATTAATCAGATCAACATAATATTATCATGGAGTTCTATTACATTCAGACTACAAAGACTCTACTAAGACATGACTAAGGAATAGATAAGAGAAGAAGAATCAAACTTCATTTCCATGTTGAAAGTCTTCAATCTCCAAACTATTACAAAGAAATCCTAATACAACAACTAAAACACTAAGAGAATTTAGAGAGAAGTCAGACTAAAGTTAAAGAGAGAGAGAGAAAATATCAGATCTCTCAGATCCAGCCTTTTTTTAAGTGTCAAGGCTTTGCCTTATATAGTGTTACAATTAAAAACAGAAAACTGATGTGGGCGCTTAAACGTTCATAAGTGACCGTTTTAGCGTCCATGCTTTACGTATGCTCAACTGCTTTTAACTGATTCCAACGCTAAAACGTTAAGGAATGACCGTTTTAGCGTCCAAACTTGGTGAATGCTCAACTGACTTTAACTGACTCCAACGCTAAAACTCTTGATTTGGACGTTTTAGCGGTGGAGACCAGAATCCTTTTTCCACTTTAGGGCGCTAAAACGCTTATTGCAGGCCGTTTTAGCGCCCAAGACCAGCAATTTTCCATCTTCTAAGTGCAGCAGCGCGCTAAAACGCTCTGTGTGGGCGTTTTAGCGCTCATCACCAGCAAGTTTTGGCCTCTTCCTGTAGCAGGGCGCTAAAACGCTCAGTGTGGACGTTTTAGCGCTCAACACTTAGGCAATTTTTCTCCTCTTGAGCTCCAGAATCTTCTTCCTTCTCCAGTTGCCTTTCAAGCTTGCTTTTCCTACAAGAATCATACAAATTTCCACTAAAGCTCTTGAACTTGTAATTGAGGACATCTTAGGACATTAACCTTGTTTTTTTTCATCATTTAATCACACAATTTGATCCTAATTCCTGCTAAAAACCATGATGAACTAAGGGTTCATCAAAGTTACAAGAAAGCAAGATTTCAAGTGTGTACCAGCTAAAGGAGGACGTTTTGGCGTCCATGAAGCACGTTTAAAAGCACAAAAGGAAGGAAAACACCATTGCCCCTGGAGGAGAATGTTTTGGCGTTCAACAGCACGCCAAAACGCCCAGAAAACATCCAAAAATCTTCGAAGAGCATGTTTTGGCGTGCTACTGGACGCCAAAACGTGCTGAGGCAGAGAGTAAAGCACTAGGAGGACGTTTTGGCGTGCTCTTGAGCGCCAAAACGTCCATACACGGTCAAGCCAACTCCAGGAAAGATTTAATCAAGATATGCAGCAGATTCCATGAAGATACAAAAAGGAAACACCTCAACCTTGATTTGAAATAAGATATAACTCCAATGGGAAGATATGATGGAAGATCACAACAAGATTTAAAAGCTCAAAATCGTCAACCAATCTCCAAGATATCAAATGCAAAAAGGAAACAAAGATGAAATCCACCACAAATCTGATATGGATTCATTGGAGATTTAATGAAGAATACTACCCCAAAAAGCTATAAATAAGGAGCTTGGGGTCAAGACCAATTCACAATTCCAGAGCATTACACCAAGACGGAAGGAGGAATCCTGTTGCGGAGCGCTGGAACACTGAGAAACCAAGTCAACATCACACCAATGGAGGCTTGGGGTTCTCTTTTCTTTATTATTTTATTTCAATTCAGTATGCTAGAGTAGTCTTTTATGTAGTTAAGGGTAGATGGAACCCAATTGAATCTTTATGTTTATGAATTAAATTGTCTCCGAATCTTGTTCTTTTTATAATTGAATAAATTATTTTTTTGTAATGCTTTCTATGAGTTTGTTCCTTATAGAATGATTTTGGGGAATTGTATGACAATAGGGATGTTGGTGCATGAACCTTGACTTGGTAATTTATCATAATCCTTGTGATCTAGGAATAGGAATAGGAATAGACATAAGGTAATTAAGCAATCTTGTAATTCTTGATCTTAATGCATGTTTTCTTGGGGAATATCGGGGAACTAGAGTTCTTTCAAGATTACATAGATTTATGGTAACAAGGAATTGAGCCGTAATTAACTCAGATAGAATTGATTGGCAATATATTAAGAAACGGATTCTTGGTCATTTAATTCATAACATATAGAGGATATTGGGGGAAATCGAAACCTTAACTACGCTTTTTAAATATTAATCAAACATCATCTCATTCATTCTTGTAATTCTGAATTTTCATATTGCATGCCTTTACTTGTTTTTAATTTTAAGTCTTGAACAACAATTCTCTTCATCTAAATTCATCATTCTCTCAAACCAAACCTTTGATTGTCCAACCAAAACGCAATTAGTGAACTAGTGCTTGAAATTCTGATCCTCGTGGGAACGATCTCGTACTCTAGTACACTTTATTACTTTTACAACCGGTGCACTTACCGTGTCGCGTAACAATAGGCTAAGTTATCTGTGGAACGGAAAAACTGTGAAGTTCTTAAAGAACTATTTTCAAAACTCTTGTACTGAAGCTTTTGTATTTCTCTAGTTAGGTGAGCTATATTCATTGTGTATCAATGGAAATTGAACACATATTGAGAAAGAAACTTTCGTAAGAAAGGGATTTCAGACAGCTTAACCAGAGGGGGAAGGAAGTGTTGTGGAAACAACACTGCTGGTTGCCTTAGGAATAAGGGACCACCTCGTTCACTAAAGGTCACTGTTGGAGTCAAGGGAGCCATAGGAATATGAAAACTTGTGAGCCATTTAGTCCATGAGCTGAGGAATCAGAGTTGGCAATGAAGAGACTGGAACAAATACAGAAGTGTTAAGTCCTGAGTAGAGAATATAGCTATTTAAGAATGGATCAGTGGATCCGTTCCTTGTGTTAAAATTGTTTTAACCCCTCCATATTGTTGTCTCTTAAATATTGTTATTACTATTGTTATTACTGCTTTATTCAATCTTGTATCTATAAATCTCCAATGAATACTGTCGTTCCTTCTCTCATCAAGAAGGATTTCATATATAATGTTGCGAGGAGCTTTTTGCTGTCAGATTGAACCTACTATTTCTGAGGAACGTTATCAGGACAGTAGGGAATGTTTGACCAACCCGGTCATTTACTAACTTTTCTTTTCATTTTCATTCTTTTTAAAAATAGTTTAAGACATTAATTAGAGTACTATCCTCGTACGAACGATAATCTGGGCACTAATAGTCCCACTTATTACTGGATGCGTGCACTTGCGCACTTGAGTTGAAATCAAGAGAGCGAAAGTGTTTTCTCTTGATGAACTAAAAGTAAAAGAACGTCCTTCATCATAACATTATAAGCAACCAACAAATTCACACCCAACAAGTTTTTGGCGCCGTTGTCGGGGATAGTTACACTAAATTTTGTCCTTAATACTGTTTTAAGTAATACTCTGTGTATATTTCATTTTTTTTACTCACATATTTTATTGTTCATACTATATGTGTTTTATGGTTTATGAGTGAAGAGTCTGAAACAGATTCTCATCACTCCACAGAAATACCTGAGTTCTTCTTCGATCCTGAACCATAACGTACTTTACACAGGAGAAGAAGAAATATCAGGGAAAATATTTTTGAGAACATGGCTGATCACAATAATAATAATGAAGATATCCCTCATGAACAGAACTTTAGAGCACTGGCTACTCCTTCAAGGAACAGACCAGAAAGAGGAGTAATCCTCCCCCCTACAGCTTCCAATTTTGAACTAAAACCCATCATGTTCCACACGATAAGGGAAACTGGAGTCTTCAATGGACTCCATGCAGAAGATCCTTACACACACCTCACAAACTTTCAAGATATCTGTGATAATTTTAGAACTGAGGGTATAACAGAAGAGAGTATGAGAATGAGGTTGTTCCCTCACTCTTTGGGCTCAAAAGTCAAAATATGGATGAAAACTCTGACCCCTGGATCCATACACTCATGGGAGGAACTCTCTAACAAGTTCATAGAAAGATTTTTCCCTATGTCTTGCCAAACTGATGTTAGAGAAGAGCTTTCTAACTTTATAATATTTTATGGAGAAAATCTCTATGAAGCTTAGAAGAGATATAAAGATATCATTACAAAATGTCCAAACCATGGGGTGGAAAAATGGGGAATCTTACAGTCTTTCTATAAAGGGATTGATCATACTTCTCAATAACATTTAGACTTTGCTGCATAAGGATATTTCTTTAGTGGTAATCTTGGATCCAGGTACGAAATAATAGAAGACACTGTAGAAAGATGTCTCCAATGGTCATTAGAAAAGATGAGCCCAGTAAGGAAGCCATGCATGCTAGAATTAGACAAACAAACTGCCATGGAAGCCTAACTGGCTGCATTGATGAACGAGGTGAAGAATCTAAAAACTGACCAAGAACAGCCAAGAATGGAAGTCTTACAACTAACAGCCACTGAGAGCGAACCAAGCTCAGCCTGTGGTGATAATCACGATTCAACAGACTGTCCATCCACAGCCTTGGTGTATTACGCAGAAAATTTTGGGAAAAGAAGCTTCACCTAGGCCAGAGACAATCAACATGTAGGAAACAACAACAAGAAAAATCCTGGAGGCACCATAGTGAAAGATCAGAACCATAACCCACAATAGAGACCACCCATAAACCAAAGACCATACAACAACCAGCAACAATAATACCAACAAGGAAGCAGTATAGGAAATAGAGCATTTGACCAACAGAGAAGACCCAATTATGCTTCGTTCCCAATAGATGACCAACGCGTCAACACCTTGGAGAATTATGTCAAGGAATATGTTACCAGGAACGATGTTGTGGTCAGAAACATTGAATCCCATCTGGGACAGATAGCTGCTAGCCTTAACACCAGGACACCAAGAAAACTGCCAGGGAACTGAAGTTCCCTCAACATCTTTTCCACAAGAATGAAAGGTGAGTACCATGTCTAGCTAAAGACACTAAACTAAGCGCTGCCTGGGAGACAACCCAGCGGATACCTTTGCCCTCTAACAAGAGCAAAGTTTTGGGTGTGGTTAAACTTAACCACAGGGCTCCCAAAAAGAGAGGGAACGTCTGATGTTCACCTATGATCCAAAAATAATTGAAATACGTTCCGTAGCAGGAACGTAGTTTTGGGGTGGTTCAATAACCACATACCCCTATATATATATATATATATATATATATATATATATATATATATATATATATATAATATAGATATGTAATAATATACAGATTTACTATTTCCTTAATTAATTATATATTATTGTTCTCCAATATATCTTGTTTTTCTTTTTCATATCAAATAATAATTATTCAAATTACTGTCGTTCCTTCTCTCATCAAGAAGGATTTCATATATAACGATGCGAGGAGCTGTTTGCTGTCAGATTGAACCTACTGTTTCTGAGGAACGTTATCAGGACAGTAGGGAACGTTTGACCAACCAGGTCATTTACTAACTTTTCTTTTCATTTTTATTCTTTTTAAAAATAGTTCAAGGCATTAATTAGTGTACTATCCTCGTAGAAACGATAATCTGGGCACTAATAGTCCCACTTATTACTTGATGCGTTCACTTGCGCACTTGGGTTGAAATCAAGAGAACGAAAGTGTTTTCTCTTGATGAACTAAAAGTAAAGGAACGTCCTCCATCATAACATTATAAGCAACCAACATGTTCACACCCAACACATACCAAGGGATTTTTAATTCATTTCAACACTTCCATACATCATACAATCATATAATTTACTTATACAATTACTCCACAACTCAATTACACAATCCTACAATAATTCCATTTCACAAAGTCTTGCATACTCTTCACAAGATTGCCTAAGTTACCAAACTTTTCACCAATAATTTTTATGAGTTCAATCATCGTAAAACATCATTCTAAGACACTTTTATCTAACACATTTTAATTTGAAGTCCCTAACCACATCAATCTATACAAGCATGCTTTAGGTCTTCAAAATCAAATCCAACAATCCAACCAATGAAATGTGTTGAAACTTACCCACAATCAAGGCCTAGGACTCCTCCACGCAATACCCAAGCAATGGAGGATCAAACAACTCCAAGAAAACCAAAATCCTCTACAAAAATGTGACAATTTGTGTCACTTTTCTCCCGATCTAGCGAGTTTCATGCCTTGAAAGTACCATGGTTGGGTTTGGACGGTTGTTTGCTTGAAGTTTCCTATGGTGGAAGTTTGATTTTGATGGAGTTTTGATGGTTTTTAGGTGAGATTAAATTTCAAGATAAAACTTGCATAAATGAGGGGGGCTTGAGTTTGAGAGGAAGAGAGGAGGGAAAGAGGGAATGAATAGTGGTTTTCCTATGTGCCACAAGTCCACTTAAGTGGGGTGGGTCCCACTGCCACCTCACGCGATTCAAATTAATTCAAATTTCTCGCTTAAACCACTAAACGTCCATTAATTTCTAGACTATTTAGAAACTTCAATTTTTAACATTCACCATTGTCCTTTAATTGTCCTTGGTCAGATGAATCCGGAATTTTCCGGTCATTCGATGAAATCTCAATTTTAAGCTGTTATGTGCACTGTGGGCACGCTTCCCCAAAAACCCTAATTTCATTCAATTTTCAACAGAAATCATAATTCCTAGCCCTATATACCATTTATAAGTTATTTCCAAACATAGAGCTCAAAATTCATTTAGCACGCTTTACGGTGCAACTGAACCGCGATATTTTTAACCGGTAAAACCATTATTCATCATTTTTCGTCGCAAACCTAATAAAAAATAAATCAAAAAGAAATTATAATTATGAGTTTTTCGACGAAAATAATTTTGTCTAAAGTTTTCGACGGAGAATGAATTTCGTCAAAAACATTATAAAAAAAATAAATTATATTTATGAATTTTTTGACGGAAATTGTAACACCCCGTATGCATCCAGATTGTTATCATATTACGGTATTAAGCACAACACAATTAAATGCGGAATCTAAATAAATTAAGTAATCAGACATGCAAGGTTACTCTTTCCTTATTAACATGACAAAATAAAAGTTCATCTATATTCTTATGTAATTGCAAAACTACAATAGAATTCCCGAAATGCCTCAATATCATAAATAAATACTAAGTCATAAAGCTACATCACGCAGTCATGACCACGTCCGTATCTCATAGAGTATACAGAATACGCATGTTCAATAATAACACAAATAAATCAAAGGCATGGACAACCCCCTTGCTCACGAAATGAATAAAACATACATAGTTTGGTAAAAACATAAAATCTTAGTAATCATGTCACAATACAATATTGATATCCATAATAATTTGAATAAAAAATGCTTCTCAAATAAACTCTACTCCGGCCTCTTGCCTCAGGAAGCATCCATCCTATGGACATCTGTACCTAAAAATGTGCCCCAGAAAAGGTGGAATCTCTAAACCGAAATATCAATAAGCAAAGGTTCTCGAAGAGTTCCTCCGTCCTAAGCTCACTTCAGTATAATAATTTAAAATAATAATTCAACATTAATAATATCCATATGATGCAGCAATATATATATATATATCATGCATGTGTGCTAACAAGTCCATTGGCCAGAGAACGGTATGATTTACACACGTCTGCTACATACATAAGAAGTATAAGGCTCTTGCCTTATACCCACACTCAGGGAATACAGTCTTGTGCAGCTTCACACTACACTCATGTATTAGCTATCTTGTGTGTACTACATCACATAATATACATATATAAGAGTTCATCATTTCATCATCTCAAATAACAGATACGCACATATACCATATAAAACTACCATCCTCCTCTTGGAAAATGGTGGAACAAATGGGGATTAACTCTGAGAACACGAAACTTACCTGTCAAGTAGTATAGTCAAGCTCAAAATCCAAACAGCATTCCACATATAACCACACAGCAGAATCAAGTCTGTTTTATGTCAAAAATATCATCAATATTTATATCCTGAAATTTCAAGTTAAATGGACTACATTTTCTTTTTCGTTTTGTGACTACAGGCTTCTTCCAAAGCCCCCTAAGCACAAACCATCTTTATCATTTTTAAAACAAAAATTGCAATTTTTTACCAAAAGTTCTAAGATTTTTCTATGTTAAACTAGACATCACCAGATTTCTAATGAAATATTTTACGTCGCAATCGGAGTTGTATAACTCCGGTTATATATTTCGCAAGGTAACTATGGAAAACAAAATTTCTCACAACAAGGTAGCAACTTCAAACTTACATTGCAATCAATACACTAGTCGAATGGATCTAAAATTTTATAAGTTTGTAGCTCTATTTGTTATCTTCACAGAGGTCCACACCTCACTCAATTTCGAGCTCTGTGGCTCGAGTTATCATAATTTTACTAAACTAGTGCATTGTTGTAATCGATTAACTATTTTGTTTGGATTTAATCGATTAAACCACGTGGTTAATCGATTAAATCTTCAACAGAATATAGAAAGTCATATTTTTATTACATAATTGTGATTCCAATAGTTTCCTAAGATTCTACTTCGATCTTTACACTTATAGATGTCCAAAATAACTCACTTACACTTAGATTATCAGTTTTACATTTAATCCCTTAAAATTTCTCTTTTTATATAACCAAGAACAAGCTATTTTCATAGAATTGCAAGGGGAATGGTGTAACAGCCCGTTATGTACTGGTAATGTTATCATTGCATATGGTATTAAGTGCAGTTAGAATCACAGTAATTGAGTTAATTAAATTACGGGTAAACTTTTTCTTTTATTACATTATTTCCTTTAAACATTAACCATTTCCGTAATCAATTAAAAGCAACACCGTGATTGTAAATGCAAAACTCGCAGAAGCATAAAACTTATTTATTATAACCCCTCCAAGCAATATTATTAACTCTAGGTTATAAAATGACTCATTTTAAAAATTTGCACAGTAGGAATCAATTCCCAACAGCTGGGAATCGATTCTCAACAGCTATAGTAACACACAGTAGCTACAATTTGGCTCCCCTGTTGTTAGGAATCGATTCCCAACATAAGGAATCGATTCCTAGCCTTCACAGTGGCTACATTTTATGTCCACTGTTTCAGGGAATCGATTCCCTACTGTGAAATC